TTCTTCAGCTTGCTTAGCTTATTAATAAGAAATATCCCAGCACCTTGTGATTTGCCGCATGGCTTCATGATCCAGGTGCTCTGCGGGGACTTGCGATATTCTTCCACGAACATATTGTAATCTATGACATAATATACTGTGAAATTCAAAAATCAAATAATTCTCATTTGAAATATCATAAATAAAACATTATAGTGTGAAAATTGATCGAAATGTTTAACACAAATGAGTGAAGAGGGCCATTCGGTCCAGGCGGATCTTGGTGCCCAATAATAAATTGAGCAAATTTTTACAATGTTCAGTTCAAATAAACTGCGTGTCTATTTATTTGTCAATCTTATACCAATTAAAAAATTTTAAATTTAAGACTGAACTTTTTATTTACGAAACAGTTATTGTGTTAGATTTTTTGTCAAGAAATTTTTCGAATCAGCTCTTTACTTTAATTTTTAACAACCTAATCTTAATATCTTGGGCTTACCAGCTGGTAAGACGAAAGTGACAGGTATAAAATCGAGGTACAAATATTTGCCTGGACCTTCCGCGCGTTCTGCCAATGGATTTCCCTCTCTTTCCAAATCCTTTCGGTATCGCTTGATGTTTTTTACCAGCAAATCCTTGCGCGTAAGCTCATAGTGATTTGGGAAGTGATTAATGATTCTAATAACATAAATAAATGTTTTTTTTCTAAATGGCTTATAAATTAGTATCTCTAAAAAATGAATATCTATATAGAATTTTCCATAACTTTATAACATGTCATTTCTATTTTTTGAAATACTAGCACGTTACATTTCGCCAAAAATTGGAAGATTTATCATTTCCGTTGGCCATAATTCAGTCATTTTTTATTTTTAAACTTTAAGTTCGGATTCAACATCAGCGACCCCAAAAACTCTTTAATATTACATTTCGTTGAATACTATATTTCATTGGAACCAAAAAACTCTATCAGTTTTAACGAAAAGAGAGTTCAGGACACGGCAATTTTAAGATATAATATATATTAATTTTTTAAATCAAATATACAGCTGAAATTAAAAGTAAGGCATTGTCAATATAATAATTATATGGAATTATAATAATTTGAATGTCGCACTTTTTTGTCTGAGAATACATACAAGATTTTAGTCAACTAAAATCTTTGTAGTTTATTAATATATATATAATTAATAAAATAAAGAAGTTTACTTTGTCTTACTGATTATCATCCATTCTGTATCCAGTTTCAACGCTAAAAATATTCCTGCAGGATTGTGTAACAGCCCTATAATAAATAATAGAACATTATAATAAATTCTCAAATAATAGGTATACAAATCTTGTGTTGTAATTTATGATTACCAATAAAAATTCCAATCATCCTCCGGACCAACCTGCGTCCAGCCACGTTTCTCGCAGTTGTGTACGATCACAGATTTGTCTACGTCTGTGCAAAACGTGATTCTTGTCCGATCCATCCCGACAGATGGCATTCTATAATCATCAATTATTCAATCACGATTGTAAAAGAATCAATCAGCGCCAATATTTTAATGTTGCTGAGATTATCTCTTAATTATTTTACATAAATATCTCAAAACTGAGGAAGCTGTATTTACACAAATATTTACACAAATTGTCTTAAAATAAGATGTTTATAAGATAATAATTTTAGGATAACTCCGGCAAATACGCCGCGTTGGGATTTACGTCGCAGAAGTCAGAAAAAATAGAAGGAGTGGAGATAATTTTCCCACAATTACTTTGTTACATGTCTTTACGTTATATTAGTATTGTGTTATGATTTCAGTTTCTTACTGTTAATATTAATAACAGTATTGTGAGTTGAATCGATTTGTCACTGTGTTGAGTAGCGCCATCATAAATTATAATCTACATAAAATAATTACTGCAGAACGTGCAAAAGAGTTAGTGATTATTTCGTGATACATGAGTGTAGAGAAATAATAAAGCATGTAGTATAATATAACAAAATACAATTACTTTGCTCTTGTATTCTTTGTTTAGTTTGTTGTCTTGTATATCCTACCTGTTTGGGATATACGGCATTTTTAGCGGGATTTATGCCCAAAGTATACAAAGTGGACAGATTGAATTCAATGCACTAAATGCAATAAACGCATTACATGAAATATGTACCTTATGTCATAACACTTGTAATATATGTTTAAAGATTGTAATTATTATTTATTACTTCATATACATATTTATCATTCTTATTCTTTCATGAAATTTTATAAACGCATTTTATAAGTTATTGTATCATTTTACGACTTATTTATATGCATTATTTGTAATTTTTCATGAGCCGTACATATCCCCCCTCCCCTATAAGTAGCCATATATATCCCACTCCTATGGGATATACGGTAAAAATACAAAGGTAAAAATACAAAATTCATTTTTTAATACGAAATATAAATCGGATTACCAATATTTTTTTCATAATAGTAGATAGTGCAAAGTTTTTATTGATATAGTTCATTTACTTTAAACATAGTAAATAATACTTAATAAATTAAGTTTTTGATATATGCGGCGTATATACCGGAGTTACTCTAATAATAAATTAATAATAAATAAAATAATATAAAAATTATAAACGAAAGATAAATGGAAATAAAATTTATTAATTTTTTTATTTATCACTTTTTTTGGGGTAATCAATTGCGTTAGAAAGCTATAAAAAATTTGTGAAAATTTCAAAAAGGAATAGATTTTTTTTATTATCTCTTCCTATATTAAGTAGAAATAAATTTTGCAGTAAGTAAAAAAATGAACATAATATAAATATATAATAAAATATGATAATAAATAAAGATATAAATAAAAAAATAAATTTTAAAGTTATAAAAATATAATAAACTTTAGCAATCTCAATTTTTCCCGAATATAAGTTCAAGATAGTTTAAGAATGAAGAGAAGCTTCAAACATTTGTTGAAGATTGAGCTTGAAGAGAAATTTCCGAAATCTTGGCGTATATTTTTAAATATTGTGAGCAGTGGCCCTTCACAACACACACAAATCATCTCGAGCAGCATAGTTTTATGAAATTGCTATGAATTATTTACCTGCCATAAACAGCACAGGCGTTTAAATTTGTAGCCCGTTTGCTTTCTGCGGCCACGTTCGACGCCATGTTCTCGATACTTATAACCGTATCGTTTGATCGATACGGTCGTTAGTCGATATCTCAGTCGTCAAAAGTTATACATAGGCTGTAATGTTGTGTTCCAAAATTCGCTGCATATCTTCTATCGGTAACCCTCTTCATAATCTTGCTTTTTATGGTCACGCAATTTTTATGGTCAAAACACAATCGAAACGCATACAACTTGTATGCATTTCAACTGTGTTTCGAAACGCATCCATCTTGAATATAAAAGCATTTCTGTACTTCGTCAGTGTACTTCAGAAATGATTTAAATATATGTTTAATTAATACTTAAACAATATTTAAATTTATGTTGTCGACAGAATAATTCATGAGTAATGCCGTATTCCAAATTTACTGCCAGCACTGAAAATGCTGCAGTCTCGGACATTATGTGCATTATAAATTTTCAGTACTGGCAGTCAATTTTGGAACACAATCTAAAACGTGTTGGTTTCATTATGATATAATATTAAGATAAAAACATAAAGATGTCAACATTTTTTGATCATAATAACGAATCCAACATATCACATTTGTTTTGTAAATTTAAATCCTTCTTTTTTTAACAAAAATAGCGAGATTTTAAGCTTTTTTTTTACTGATTTTTCTTCATCTAAGATTCTAATGTTGTTCCAATTAAAATTACGATTGAATTCAATTCTGTGTTCAGTTATTACCGAGTATTGAGTTATATTTTTGTTAATGTGATTGCGATTGTTCCTATTTTGATTTTTAATATTCTCTTTATCTCTTTATTTTTTATCTAATCACAATCACAACAATTAATTTCATATATAACATGAGAGTAATGGTATTTTGTCTTTATGGACTTTAATAAAGTTGTTTAATTTATTTAGGTTTATATAAGCTAGACTCATTATATAAAAATCCTTCAAAAATTTTTTGAATTATTCAGCTAAAATCGGTACATATGGAATTGTAAAAAAAATTTTGGGATTTCCATTAAAAATAGATTTGCTATTATTATTTGATTCAGCATTGGAATTACTTAGTTGTTTAAATTTTGTGTTTAATTTTTTTTAATGTTAATGAAAATTAAATCAATGGAACAACCATTTTTTTGAAGAATATTTATATTTAATAGAAAAATTTTCTTTTTTCTTATAAAAAATGGGAGAAATTATATAAAAGAGATAATTATTCTGGAAAACATTAGGAACACACTATTTATAGACTATATTCATAACTGCTTGTTCAAGCGCCATATCTATATTTTTCATTTCAACTTATAACTGTGCTATCAGAGTAATGATCGTAGTGTCAAGAAAACATAGCTTGAGTTGTTTATCAAATTGACCTTACATTAACTCTAATAAAAAAGATTGCTATATTTCGCTATTTGCTATCAGAGTATATCTATAGATAAATAAATTAATCATTGTGCATGCGATAAGAGAAACAAAACTTATGTAATTCTATATATGTATTATATATATTATATAAAATTACATAAAACATTGTATGACGAAAAGTACACAGATATACATGATACATTATCATTAAATAATAGCCGGCAATTGCACTACTAAATCACTAGTTATAGCATTTAATATAGCACACAAGAATCGTTTCAATATCAATGTCAATTTCGACTATAAGTAATATAAAAATAATTAAGCTATATTTAACAACTGATAATACATTATAAAAATATTTTTAATCTTTAAGATAAATGTTTCCAATATACACTGTGCGACATCACATAATAAATGTATAACAAGCTCAGATTATCGCGTTCGTCATCCTGCCATTACGCTCGTTTTCGTTATCAACTGCGTGTGTTATTTCTGTGTGATGCAATCGCAATTGCAATAATAGTCGTTTGACGAACATTGCTTGGACATTGAACCACTCAGTATCGTTCAGTCCTTTTCGAAAGCAGCAATATGGCTGTCACGCTCGTGTTGTCGAGTCTTGTAGTTCTGGTGATTCTCTATCTCTTCTTGACGAAAAATTATAAATATTGGCAAAAACGTGGAATACCTTGCCCGGATGGAATCTTGCCCGGTGTCGGTCATTTCTGGGAAGTCGCCATACAAAAGATCACTTTGAGCGAGTACTGTTGCAAGATCTACAATGCATATCGGGATCGCAGCATGGTAGGAATCTATAATTTCATGACGCCGGCGTTGATGGTCCGCGAGCCGGAACTGGTAAAGACGGTGCTGCAGACGAGTTTTACGAACTTTCATGAGAACGGCATGAAAATCGATCCCAAATTGGACCCTCTTTTGGCGAACAATCCCTTCTTCACCTACGGTGAAAAATGGATGACCGGGAGAAAGCGCTTGACCTATGCGTTCTCCAGTATGCGACTGAAAATCCTGCTCGAGACCGTCAAGCAGGTGTGCCAGATATTCGATGGCTATCTGGACAAAAAAATAGAGAAAGCTGGAAAAGTGGAGTTAGAGCTAAAGGAATTGTTCTCCAGATTCACCTCGCAGGTGGTATCTAGTGCTGGTTTTGGCGTCGATGGCTTAAGCTTCAACGAAGAGAAAGAGAAAGATTCTTTCTACGCAATGGGCAAGTCCTTCCTCGATTCGACCGTTTTGAACAACATTATCTTCACCCTTGTGTTTTTTATACCGGCATTAGGTAGAATTTTCAAGATAAGGTTCTTACCGAAAAAAGTTGATCATTTCTTTAGAACGATCATTGCAGACGTTATGGAACAAAGAAGGAAGGAGGCGACACCCAGAAACGATTTTCTTCAGTTGATGACTGATCTGGAACGAATGGAAGGCAATAAGTTTGACTTAGAAATTCTCACGTCCCATGCGGTATCGTTCTTCGTCGACGGTTATGAAACTTCCAGCGCAGTCTTAAGTTTTGTAGGCTTCCAATTAGCCAGTAACCCAAAAGTGCAGGAAAAGTTACGCGAGGAGGTGATGTCTGTGCTGAATAAATATGATGGTGTGATTACTTATGAAGCCTTGAAGGATATGACATACATGGATCAGGTAATAAATGAATCGATGAGATCCATACCTATTCTGGGATTTCTAAACAAGATGTGCACAGAGGAGACTGAGTTGAGAGGGTCCGATGGACTCGTCTGTCGCGTAGAACGTGGAATGCACATCATGATACCAATTAGCGGCCTACAGGGAGATCCACAATACTGGGAGAATCCCAAAGAGTTTGATCCCGATAGGTTTGGTCCAGATAGAAAACACAACATCGAGAAATTCACCTTTCTTCCTTTCGGCGAAGGACCGCGAATATGCGTAGGAATGAGAATGGCTCAACTGCAGATAAAAGCGTGTTTGGCTAGCCTCTTAAGAAAGTACAGCATGGAGCTTTCTCCAAAGACACAGTTACCATTAAAGATGATATCTTCGACCTTCATGGCCCAAGTAAAAGGCGGTCTTTGGAGCATAATCCGGCCGATTTAAC